CACACGCACATGCACACGCACGCGCGCGTACGCGCGCACTCACACACACGCGCGCGCGCGCGCGCACACACACACACACACACACACACACACACACACACACACACACGCACACACACACGCGCGCGCACGCACTACTCGGAGCTATATATTGCCGTCGCGACGCATAGTTACCAGGGTCGAACACGCCTAGGTCTTCCTGTCGTATGTCGGTGGGAACGAAACCACAGATGTCGTTACGAGCTACCTGGGGTTGACGACAGAGCCCGTCGAGCTTGCCGAGCGGTGTCCATATCGTATTCTCGGGGCATTGCCTATAGAAAGACGAAATTTACGTGTGGCCACGTGCATGACAGAGATGTGGTGAGTAAGAGCGTCACCGCGTACACACGTCGGCGTGCCGTCATAACATCGCATTTGTAAAATGAGTCGGTGTCCCTGGTAACACTCTCGCTTGTGTGGTGTGTATGCAAGCAACTAAGTATGTAGTAAATCAACAGGGTCCAGCTTGTCCCGACAAGTTGTTACACGTGAATCTTCTATCGGTAAGACACAGTCATAGACCCGGCCGTCTGGTCTAAGATACTACAATTATATAATAACTACAAAATAAGTTGCATCGTCGCTTACTTGAGTATGGGCCAGCCGTTGTCGCACTGGTAGTAGCTTTGACAGTTGGTCGGGTCAGCGACATATGTGGCGCTGTCAAAGCGATAGTCGCACGTGTCCGCGATATTTGTCGGTATTCCAAATCGTTTCTTTATCGACTTAGCCGAGACTATGTGGGATCAGAATGGAATGCGTAGTTTGTAGCACAAATACTTCTGCGAGAACTCGTCAGATCGAATTAAATCGCAGAAATCATAAACTTATTGGTCTTGCGAATCACACAATGTCACTCGTTGTATCACTATAATGGGGCTCTGATCCGGATAATAACATCACGTGACTGTAATACATCATGATTTCGGCGCTGCTTCAACATATTCAAATATAAACATAATATCCAACGGTAGTAACATAATGCGACATGCGACACGTTTTGATTACGTATTGATTATATTAGGTTCATTTACAGCTCAATCGAAAAGATTTCGAGTGGAAAAATCAAATAAAAAGTACATATGTTAAAAACACTGCCGCCAAAAACTTTAAACTTTGTCTCTAACTTCCTATATGTTTCGGTAACGAAATACACGTACTATTGCCAATTAACATGATTCGCTTACCGGTATAACTGCTAATTAGCAATGCAAGAACTACCGCACATAAACAGCGCTTACCACCTGCTACCAAGAACAATACGACGATCCACCTCATGCCGACTAACGTGTACTTCACCCCGAATGCTTGATACGACGACGAGAGTGGCTGACGGAGCTGCTAGCGCGGCTTTGTCGAATCGGTATACTGTGCATCTGCTGAGGAGATGTCACCCGTATATAGGCAGGACACAGCACTGCCGGCCTAATGCGCACGTGCGCGACCTGTTCTTGTTAGCGCAATTCACAATATGTCCATTCATTTGATATACGTCGATCTTCGTCGTTAGTCTGAATAGCGGCGGCGCATCAATCAATTGGCCTATTTTCTTCCATGCATAGCAATGGATGGCATTCCCCTGCTAAGTAATTGGTTTTCGTTTGCAAAAACCAACTTGTCAAGCCTAAACACGCAATATAGGTGAAAAGATCGACGCGAACTATGTGATTATTCATGCGTTCATGACCAGTTGAATCTATGTTGATGAAAAAGCGACGAACGTCTGACACAGTAAACTTAGACCGCGACGCCATATCTAGAATCTCTTACACTCGGCTATAATTACGAAAACGTCACAATTCATCTTGTCCATTGCTTACTGAGCCTAGTAGTTACTGTATCCATCAGATGGTTTGTGTTATATCTCCTTTCCTTTTACCCTTCTTACTACCCTTAGCCTTAGATTCATAGTAGATCCATACCGCTCCTACGTAAGGAGACCGAGCTCCGTTACACTAGTGCAGCTGCTGTGTGTTGAATAGATGCGCCACAACCCGATCGTTAATCATGTGAGTTAACGCTAGGGGTATGCGGTTTACATCAAATTGACCGGCAAATTAGGGAGTATAAAGAAGGGACCTACGCATGAAAAGTACACAGAAACACTAATTGTATTTTTATACATTTTATTTTGTACAAATAACACACAAATATACTATTTGCTGGTGCTTGAAATTCTTGACGTAGTCATAAACGTATAAAATATTTATTGCCTGCTGCTAATGAAAATTTCCTGCTATGTCGTACTGCCACCTAGCCTAAACACTTTCTCGCCCCGTTGGCCACCACGATCAAAAGATGCCGCGAAAGAGGGCTTGAACTAGTTAGTGATCGATGACAATATATAATGTCTGATTAAAACATAATTATAGTACAAAACATTCTGAATGTGATAGAAAAGTTATAACTAATATAAACATATTCTGGTTAATTTTTGTTGTTGTACAGTGGATCTAATGGCAACGCGATATTGCAAACGTATAATACGTCATGGAATTCCCAATGAAAGCCAGAATACACATAGATTAGTTATACCCGCTGTAACGTTTGCGTGTTTTCTATTGCGTATATAGTTGTGTTTTGTAACGTGTTATATATATATATATACAGTATCCTGAACTAATTCAAAAACACTATGTTTGCGCCGTACTCAAAACTTTACACAGCGCTCGATAGTCACGCGCGCATTTACAAAACGAATTGGACTAAACGAAAACGGAATTTAACAGTAAATCAACAACAACCGTAATAAATAAATAAACGTAACAGTAATAACCGAATGAACGTTAGGGCTCCATATATTATTATGTTACTCGGCTAAACCGCTGACACATCATGCGTCGTCACTCTCCGCCACTGATCGACAGATGGCGCTGCTTTCACGCGGCCAGCCACGGGTACGTCTCGGGACAGGCGTTGCAGGTCTGTACGCGCCGCTCGCCTGGATGCTCGTCGCTGTTCGGCGCATGCGTGATGTTCTCGTAGACGCAGCTGTTGACTTCGCACGAGATTTCGACGTCTGGCAGAGCGTCGCACGAGAATGCGGCCACGTCTGCGACGCCTCGGTGCGCTACGGGATTGCGCACGTAGCTAAGCATCTGACTGACGGTGACGACGTAGACGTCATTCATGCTCGCCAGAGAGTCGAGCCACTCCGTGATCGCCTCCCGGTTATAGCCGTACTCGTAGAACCAGCGCGCACGTAGGTTCACGGGGAACGGAGCGCGGTTGCCATGGTAATGCCTGTTGAAGTTGTCGTGCAGCAGCTGCAGCGCCTCGTCTTTACTCTCCGGTATGTGACAGCCGTCTACCATGCTACACAGAGTTCCGTTGGTGTCGAGCCAGTCGACAAGCGGCACTTCCCAGACGCCCGGGAAGGAGGCGGTCGGGCAGGGTGGGATGTCGCAGCCCTGCGTGCTGCGGTAGTCGAGCGTGTAGGGCCAGAGCGGAGGATCGTTCTGCTGCGTCGGCATCGACATGTCGTAGATGAAGCCATGCTCGGCCATCATGCTGAACTGCGTGTTACCGCCACCTTGCAGGAAGGGCGCGCGCATGCCGCGCACGTCCTCCGCTCGCACGTTGCCGAGGCGCTCGAGAATGTTTCGGTGTCCCGCCATCTCTGCCGCCCACAGCGACGACGACGCCTGTCGCCAATAGTCGACGGGCGTGCTCTTACTGGAAAGTCGTGCTTCAAACATTAGCGTGTAATATGCGTGTGTGTGTGTGTGTGTGTGTGTGTGTGTGTGTGTCTGTCTGTCTGTCTGTCTGTCTGTCTGTGTGTCTGTCTGTCCGTCCGTCCGTCCGCCCGTCTATCTGCCTGCCTGTGTGTCTGTGTGTCTGTCCGTCCGCCCGTTTGTCTGCTTGCCTGTGTGTCTGTCTGTCTGTCTGTCTGTCTGCCTGTCTGTCTGTCTGTCTGTCTGTCTGTCTGTCTGTCTGTCTGTCTGTCTGCCTGTCTGTCTGTCTGTCTGTCTGTCTGTCTGTCTGTCTGTCTGTCTGTCTGTCTGTCTGTCTGTCTGTCTGTCTGTCTGTCTGTCTGTCTGTTTGAATAGCAAGGAAAACTAATTTGGGCCGCCGTTTGTATGTCAAGTAAAAGTATAGCCTGCAGCAATGTGACAAATATAAGCAACGTACTCAAATCACTGCCATTCTACGCACGCACACTCACTGACCATCATCATAAGTAACACGAAGTCTAGGCAGTGATACGGACTTCGCAACTACGAAACGGAAGGTTTCCACGTATTGCGGGATGGCTTATGGTAAATATTCGTTTTAAATTTGCAATAAATGAACTGCTTTTCGGACTACCGTGTTGGCTTTATGTGAAAGTTAATTACAGTATCGCGTGTGCTCAATTGTGTCATGATACAGTTTGTCTTCGCCGTGGGCTTGAACTTGCGGTTTTTATATCGATGGATAGATATATAGTTCCCGAGTGTAACATGAATGCAACTTAAAAAGTTATATTACATTGCTATCTCAAAGCTATCGTTCGCCGTTTTATTGTGTGTTTATTCAGTTGAACAATGCATAGTAAGTTACGCCTATAGATAACTCGTACACACGTACGTGAACGTAACGTGTATGTTGACTAAATTGTGGCGATATCATGATAATTTTTTTCTCAAATGTACAAACGAACAAATTTCTTTTCCGTCATAGCTGGTGAGGCAGAAGCAAACCACGAGCAATCCGAGTTCCGAATCACGGCAATTCGCGAGTCAGTTCTGGGTTGCGTCGGCCCAGGAGACGATATCGGCAGCCTTTTTGCATTTGTAACGGTTCCATCTCTGCCCACTAGTGGCGCTGGCGATGGCGACAGTGACGACTGGTTTCGGTCAGTGATATGGAGGCACATAGTCGACATCGTAAGAAACGGATTGTTACTTGCAACGGACCGGCTTATCGACTTGATAGCAGAGTTAGCTAGGTAACCCGGCAAGTGGATCACGCTCGCTCTCATCATTCTGCGGTTCTACAAAAGCTCGCGATTGTGCAGTGCACAAAGGATGTGCAAAAGTAGGACTGCGTGAACGGTTGAATAGCCTCCGGCGTGGTGGGAAATGATGCGCCTGACAAGACAATGAATATATATGTATATATGGATATATATATATAT